CTTTTGATTCCATTCTAGCAGGTCTTGAAATTGCAACCCGGAAAGGGCAACGTGGTCCCATACTTTGAAAGCTATATTTGAAGAAATAATTGGAAATTTGACATTTTCCAAAAGAAAAATATACACTAATTAACCTTTTATCTATTAAATAAAAAGTGTAAACAATTTTACATTTAAAATTATTAAGAACATGATATTTAATTATTTAACTTCATAAGATATGGTAATTAATGAAAATGTAATATGGGTAATCCTAAAAGAAATAGAAAAAAGAGTGGGTGTGTGAGGACAAGGTAGCTTTATTGTGAAGTTAGAACTTTAGTCATTGGATCCCTCACTCCTTACTTTTGTTGCACTGAGTGGCAGTGGCACTGCTCTTTTGCTTTTGGCAAGAGTAAGGAATTTATGGGCCGAGAAACCTAGCGATAGATTCAGAGGTTTTAGGTTCGATAGATAGAAACAGAATGTGACAAAAAACACAGAGTAAGGGTTTGGGTTTCATATCGGGTCGCATACCCACCCAACCGCCCAACTGCTATGTCGCTCACGCCGCATTACTCATTACTCATAAATCTTCTTCTCTACCATCTACTCTACAATTCCATTATTATCTCATATATTAACATAACCCAATCTTTTTTTTAATTCACCCAAAACATTTACATGGTGCTCTTCAACACTCTATGCATACTAACTTAATTTAAATGGTTAATTAAAAATACCTAACTTGACTATTTTATTGATTCTAATGAATTAGTTATTTATTTATTATATTAAGATTAAAAAATAATCGTAAATAACTTATGTTTATATTCTAACAAATGAGACCCAGCAGAGATAAATATATTAGGTAATTATCCGCATTTAACTCAATTCATATTATTAAGATATACATATGTCATATATGGTTATTGGCGATACAGAATGTTAAATGTTTCATAATAACAAAAATTATATTATATTTTTTTCTCATATTATATTTAATTTTTAATTTACTCTTCAATTTTTAAATTTAAAATTTTAGCTTTTATAGGGATATGCAATTTAGTTTGATATATATATATAGAGAGAAAGAGAGAGAGGAAAAGTTACAAACATGGCCTTCTATCTTACTTATTACATTTATTTTTGGGGTTTAGGTTTTAATTTTATAGAGTAATTTAGTTTTGGGGTTAAATTATATTTTGGCCCTTTATCTTACTTAATAAATTTATAAATTTATTTTAATTTTTTATCTTTTAAAATATTTATTTTAAAATATTTATTTTGATCTTTTATTTCGTAAATTTAGATCAATTTATTATTTTTTTTTAAATAATGATTATTTTTAATTTTTAAATATAATTTATATTTTTTTTTTACTTATTCAAGACTTGAAATTTATCTTATTAAATTTATTTATATGAAAACCATTAAATCCAATTGAAGTTTGAATAAAAATATTTCAAACATGGTAAAATTTGTATAAAAATAAATCCAAAAATACTTAAAATTTTCAAAAAAAATTAATTTCATACTATTTTCTAATTGTTCATGAAATATATATTTTTTACATAATTTTTATTATGTTTATAACCTTTTTATTTAAATATCAATTAAATTTTATAATTTTCATATAATTGAATCTAATATTACAAGTTTCACATCTTGAATTAATAAAAAATTAATTTAAAATCATGTCACAAAAGTAAAAATTATTATTATTTCAAAAGGATCAAACTGATTCAAATTTACGAGATAAATGGCCCAAATAAATATTTTAAAAAATAAAATATTAAAATAATTTTTAAAAATAAAATAAAAGATTAAAAATATAATTTAGCCTAATTTTTGCAATATGTCATTAATTTTTAATGCTTGGACCCCTAAAAAAATACTATAATTGTGTCATCAATTTTTGACTAAATATCATTTTTAGATTAAAACATACATATATTTTTTTTATTGATATACTAACTTTTAGTTTTACTTTCTTTATAATTTAAGTTTTGATTTTTATTTTATTTAAAATACTCGTGAGGATTATTTTCATTATATAACAAATGTTGATAATTTTTAAATATTTTTATTAAATAAAATATAAAGATATGAAATGTTTTAATCTCACTCGTATTTTATAGATTAAATGCATTGTTTTCATGGTTAACGTTTCCTTCTTCTAAACTTGGGTTTTTCGTAGTTCGATTTAATTATTTGATTATTAACACTTAATCTGCATATATAGGCTTTAAAGGTTTAGTTTCTTAATTTGGACCTTTTTCTGGTCGAGTAAGCTGAAAGATCATATTCCTACCCAACTGTAACATTGGTATAAGTTTTCTTTGACATATTATATCGTATTAATTGTTTGATATATTCGAAATTTATAACATAAGGAGCAACATAAATCAATCACTTAATGTGTTTTCTTACGCCGTCAATCACTTTGAAACAAATAAATTGTGATTTATTATTTTGATTAATATTTTTACGAAGAGATGCTGATGAAAATTATATTGCACCAACATATAATTATAAAGTATTATTCCTTGTCGATCACTACATTAGTAATAAAATGTAATGAAAGAAATAAAACTGTCCCATGCATCACGGGCACAAATTATTTACATGACATGGATGAATCCAAGAGGAGTATATTTTTTAAATAAATAATTGTGTTTTAATACCTATCAAGAATGCAAATTAAGTAGATTGTTTTCATATCACGGTTATATTCTTAAGTAAAATCATTTTACACTGTCACCAAATAACAAATTACAGTATGAATGTATTTTAAATAGTTATCATAAAAATTAATAAATTTATTATACATGAAAAGTTTTGATCAGATAATAGTAATTTTTTTACACTATCAATGTACAAAATATTTTATTGGATAACAAATATGAGTTATTTTCCTTAAACATCAAGAATTTCACTAAAAGTTGACAACTTATTTTGTAGCTTTTAAACCGTCAAAAATTGATAAATTTTTTTTTACATCAATTAATTTATTTTTAAATTATAACAAGTTAAACTATTTTTCCCTATAACTATTTCTATTTTAAGCTTTAGTATTTATTATCAATACAGTAAGCAATGTGTCAAATGATGTCAATACCACTACAAAATATTTTTGGTAGTGAAATATCAATATAAAAGAAATTACATTCTTCATTTTCTTTTGGCATTTTTACACACATCAGATAAATTTGTAGCGTTTGACATTGCTGGAAAGTTTTTTTTTTTTTTTTTTAAAACGCATTATTGATAGTAGGGATGACAAATATACCCGTACCCGCAGGTAATACCCGAACTCGTCCCGACTTTGATGAAAATACCCGATTTGACCGGGTACGGCTACAAGTAAAACCCGATATACTAAATCGGGTACGGGTACGGGTATGTACTTACCCGCCCCGTACCTGTACCCGTCCCCGTTTTCATTTTTAATTTAATATCCACTTTCAATTTAATTATATTAAATTTTTTTAATATTTTCTTTATGTGTGATTATTTATTATAATATGAGATAGAAAAATAACTTAATTATAATTATAATATAATTAAAAAAATAATTTAAAAATATTATATTTAAAAAAATAAAAAATAAAAAATAAAAAATAAAAAATTTGACGGGTACGAGTATGGGTACATGTATACCCGATACCCGACGGGGACGGAGATGAGAATGAAAATCACATACCCGACGGATACGAGTACGGCGACGAGAATAGGTTTGGCTCGCGAGGACGGGGACGGGTATCATGAAACCCGTACCCACCCCGCCCCGTTGTCATCCCTCCCTAATTGATAGTGTTATAAACAAGAATCCAAATGTAACTTTTTATGCATGTGTAGGATTAACGTTTACATTTTTTTAAAAATGGAGACAACACGAACCAAACAAATAAATAGTTTAACGAAAATATTAAACGATAAAATTTAAATATACAAGATACACATTTTTGACAATGAGAATCATATTTTAATTTCATAATATAATAAACTTAATTACTGCAATGAAAAACTGGTAGCAAGACAAATACAATGTATGAGTTTGAAGAAATGGAATTAATGCTAGTTATTATAAGTGCGCATGTAAATTGTAAATGTTGTGGAATGTTGTTAATAAGTGAAGAGAAGAAGGTGTGGTTTTGATGCACTTAAAACGCCGCCAAGTGATCCATGACATGACGCAGCTACAGACCAAATTGGTGAGCTGTAGAGACTAGAATGACAGTAGTGAGTGTGGTCCAAAGCCAAACAGTTGCTCTCAAATTCTTCATCCCTAAACTTAAATTAAAGAAAGCATTATTAAAGGTAATGCCATAAATCTCCTTTTCCAAAATTGGATACAGCTCACCTCAGATGCTTGCTTGCTTGCTTCTCACACAAACCATCCCAAAGGGTCAATTACGTCAAACTACCTCTAACCTTTCTAATTTTCCATTTCCTTACTCAACATTACACCACTATTTCATTTAATTACCCAAACACTAAAGAAAACGCCTTCTGTCTCTCCTTCAACCCCTGCTAATTCCCACCATTCTTGCCTCAACAATTGCTTCTCTCGCCTCACATTATCTTCGCTTCCATTTCTTTTTTCTTTTTTTTTTTGGTAAGTTTATTTTATTTAACTGCTCCAAACAGTTTCAGTTAAACTGCTTGCTATTTTTTGTTTTTAATAAAATTTTTCATATACTTCGTCATGGAGAACTTATTCTTTTTCTTTAATTTAATTTTTCTTGCTTTAAATTGTCGGTGAGGTTCTGTTCCGTGCAGTTCGAATTGTTGGCTGTTTTTAGAATTAGAAACATTGGGTTCATTCCTTGACATTCGGAATAATTTTGCCAAGATTAGTTTGGGGTCTCCTAATCTAAGCTGCTATAGACCAAACCCGATTTCCATTAATTTGGATCTAATTTCAGCGATAAAGACGGTTAGCAATAATAAATAATCATTACGAAACCTCACTTTTATCTTCTTTTTTTTTTGCAAAAAAAAAAAAAAAAAAAAAAAAACCACTAAGTTGCTTTAGTATGAAGTTTGAGCAGTGAGTGGAGTGCAGTGGAGAGAAAAGAATATTATGCGCTGGGTACACGGTTATAGCATGCGCGCTCCTGCACGTTAGAGAAGTGCGGTGGTTAGATCTCGGAAATCGCCGTTACATAAATAACAGTTGGTAACTGAAGCAGTAGCAGAAGCAGTACCACGCTGCTTCAATGCATTTCGCCAATTTAGAAATTTCGCTCAATCCCTTACCAAAATCTCGCTTCACCTTTTCGCACTACGCTACAATTCGTAGCCATTATCATTTCTAAGTTGCATCCAAGGTAGTTTTTTTTTTTTTTTTTTTTTTTTTTTTTTTTTTCACTTTAAAATATTCTTTACCTAATTAATTAAGATGTTGGAATTTTGAGATGTAAAATCCTACTTGAAGATTCCTGTGGCAGGTTGTCTTATTGATTATGGTTTATGGAGTGTTTGTGTGGTGAAAACCTAATGTGAGTGTGTTGAATTATATATTTAGTTGTAGGTGGCTTTGGGTAGTTTGCGATGGATCGACGCTGGCCTTGGAAGAAAAAATCATCGGAGAAGTCTGTGATTGAGAAAGCAGCTACTGCATTGGATTCCTCCGATGCTTCCAACAACCAGGTATATTTGTTGGCATTTTCACACAGGGAATTTTTGTGCCTCCAAAAATTTCCCACCTTCTTCAGTGCGATGAGGCAACTAAGTTCTGTTCTGTATTTTTGTCTGGGGGTGGCTGTTTTACCAATTTTTAATATCAGTAGTTTTTGCCACTTTGCTTCTGATTCTCTCATTGTTACTATTTTTATTATTAATTTTGATTCACATCTTCTGCGAGTTTACTACTGTTAGCAGGCTCTTAAGCTTGTTTTCACTTTCTTTACATTATTCAGTAGCCATCTCTCTCTCTATCTCTTGCGTGTCTTGGATTGTTTGATTCAACAATGTGATTTATGTTTTTAGTTTTTTTTTTTTCTTTTCTATTTTCTGTTTTTGATTCGCTTATGCAAACAGGAAACCAACAAGAAACCGAACTACATCCAAATCTCTGTGGAATCTTATTCACATCTATCTGGTTTGGAGGATCAAGTGAAGACATATGAGGAAAAAGTTCAGACATATGAGGAAAAAGTTCAGACTCTAGAGGATGAGGTTAAGGAAATGAATGAAAAGCTGTCAGCAGCAAACTCTGAGATCAATACCAAGGAAAGCATGGTAAAACAACATGCTAAAGTAGCTGAAGAAGCTGTATCAGGTAAAATGCTTAATGATTTTACCACCGTAAACATGTTCAAGCATGAAGCCTGTGTTACTACGAATTGCTTCTTGTTGAAATTAAAGTTTCAATGAAACTCTGCAGGCTGGGAAAAGGCTGAGGCTGAAGCTTTGGCATTGAAGAACCATCTAGAATCTGTTACTCTTTCAAAACTCACAGCTGAGGATCGCGCTACACATTTGGATGGTGCTCTTAAAGAGTGTATGCGACAAATTCGAAACCTTAAGGAAGAACATGAACAGAAAATACAGGAAGTTGCTCTCTCAAAAACCAAGCAATTAGACAAGATTAAGGGGGAGCTTGAGGCAAAAATAGTAAACTTTGAGCAGGAACTTCTTAGGTCTGCTGCTGAAAATGGGGCCCTGTCAAGGTCATTGCAAGAGCGCTCCAACATGCTAATGAAACTAAGCGAAGAAAAGGCTCGTGCTGAGGCTGAAATCGAGCTTCTTAAGGGCAACATAGAAGCATGTGAAAGGGAAAATAATTCACTTAAGTATGAACTTCATGTTGTTTCCAAAGAGCTTGAAATTCGCAATGAAGAAAAAAACATGAGTATGAGGTCTGCAGAAGCTGCTAACAAGCAGCATATGGAGGGTGTAAAAAAAATTGCTAAGTTAGAGGCTGAGTGCCAAAGATTACGTGGTCTTGTGAGGAAAAAGTTACCTGGTCCTGCTGCACTTGCACAGATGAAGCTAGAAGTTGAAAACCTTGGCCGAGATTTTGGAGAAAGTCGATTAAGGAAGTCACCTGTTAAGCCTGCTAGCCCTAATTTGTCTTCATCACCCGATTTCTCTGTTGAAAGTGTACAGAAATTCCAGAAGGACAATGAATTTCTTACAGAGCGTTTGTTGGCAATGGAAGAAGAAACAAAGATGCTGAAAGAAGCTTTAGCTAAACGTAACAGTGAATTGCAGGCCTCAAGGAGTATGTGTGCTAAAACACTGAGCAAACTTCAAAGTTTGGAAGCACAATTTCAGACAGGTAACCAGCTGAAAGGATCTCCAAAATCCATCATCCAGATAACTCATGAAAGCATTTATAATCAAAGCGCAAGCGATGCACCAAGCTTAGTCTCCATGTCTGAAGATGGAAACGATGATGCAGTAAGTTGTGCTGAATCTTGGTCTACAGCAATCGTCTCTGGGACATCCCAGTTCTCTAAAGAAAAATGCACTGAGGAATCAAGCAAGTCTGAAGCTACTAAGAAGTTGGAACTAATGGATGACTTTCTGGAGGTGGAGAAGTTGGCTCGTTTGTCAAATGATTCCAACGTGGATGCCACTGTTTCAGTTTCTTCAAACAATAAGACAACAGACATTGTGACTGACAATGTATCAGAAATTAGTACCGGCAAAGATGGTCTGTCTGAAAAAAATGGAAATTCAGATCCATTGCCAAATCAAGTGTCTTCTGATCCTCAATCTGATGTTGGTCGCTTGTTATTGACAGAACTTAGATCAAGAATATTACTGGTTTTTGAGTCCTTAGCTAAGGATGCTGACATAGGGAAGATTGTGGAGGATATTAAACATGTGCTTGAAGATTCTCATGACACTACCAACCACGATTCTAAGGATGCCCATCCTTCTAATGTTACATGTGATAGGAAGGATAATCCGGAAGATGCTGGCATAAACCTTGAAAATAAAACCGTGTCATCCCAGCAACCCAAAGAATATGTGCAGATAACTTCAGATTTGGAAGCTGCGATTTCTCAGATTCATGACTTTGTAATGTTCCTTGGGAAGGAAGCAAGGACATTTCATGGTGTATCATCTGATGCAAACGAAATGAGGCTAAAGATTGAGGAGTTCTCTGTCACATTTAATAAAGTATTATGCAACAATGCAAGTTTACTACAGTTTGTTCTTGACTTGTCCTATGTTCTAGATAAAGCAAGTGAATTCAGATTTGATGTCCTTGGCTACAAGGGCACAGAAGCTGAAACTAACAGTCCTGATTGCATAGATAAGATTGCTTTGCCTGAAAATAAGTTAGTAGAAGACAATGCATCTGGAGAAAGATATCAAAATGGTTGTTGCCATGTTCTTAATCCGTGTTCTAACCCTGAGGTCCCCGATGATGGAAATTTGGCCTCAGGCTATAAAGCGGATGCTGCACCACGGAAGCTGTCAATAGAAGAGTTTGAAGAATTGAAACTAGAGAAAGATAAAGTGGTGATTGATCTGTCAAATTGTACTGAAAATCTTGAAATGAAAAAGTCTCAATTGCTTGAGACTGAGCAACTTCTAGCTGAAATTAGATCACAATTGGCTTCTGCTCAAAACTCAAACAGTTTGGCTGAGACACAGCTAAAGTGCATGGCAGAATCATACAAGTCACTTGAAACACGTTCCCAGGACTTGGAAACTGAGCTAAACCGTCTGCAAATCAAGATAGAATCTCTAGAGAATGAACTTCAAGACGAAAAGAGGGCTCATGAAATGGCTTTGGTCAGGAGCAAGGATCTAGAAGAGCAGTTACAAAGGTGAGGCATCATCTAATATCTGGGAACACAAGTACTGAATCATGTATTCGGTCCTACTTATTGGCTATTGATTACAGATTTTCAGCATTTGTGTATATGTTGATCAAAATTGGAAAAAGTTATGAAAAACAGAGTTTCATATATCTGGTTTTATTAAAATCTGTGCTGCTGGTTCAAATTCTGATTTCTGTGCCACTGTCTGTAGGATTGAGTGCTCGGCAGCTGATAATGACGTCAAGACTTCTCATGTAAGGCTGTACTTCCATTGTATTTTGAATTTTGCATGTCATATTGCTGAATATGTATTCAGTTAGGAAAATTTAGGCTCTCATGTCACGATGATTAAAAATATCATAAGGTGTGTTTAAACCTGGAATTTCTTTTGATGGGTTGAAAATCTAAATATTGATTTCTATTGTAAATGCAGGATAAAGATTTGGCATCTGCTGCTGAAAAGCTAGCCGAGTGTCAAGAAACCATATTTCTTCTGGGCAAGCAGCTAAATGCTCTACGTCCACAAACTGACCCAATTGACTCATCATACAGTAAGATAACTCCAAAGGATGAAGGCTTCACAGAAGAGGAAGCTACCACTAATAGCCCAAAATTTCAAGAATTGGGTCAGTCGGAGTTGGATAATGCTACTTCTGCATTTGTGCAAAGATTGAGTTCGGAGTCTCCCTTGCATTTTTCCAACAGTTTATTTAGCCCATCAGATAGCGAGTCCACCCTTCCAGCCAGATCCCCAGTACAGCATTCTAAAACAAAACCCAAACACAGGCCTACCAAGTCAGCCTCTTCTTCAGCTTCCTCTGCCACTACACCTGATAAACATGCACGGGGATTCAGTAGATTCTTTTCACCAAAAGGAAAAGCTGGTCATTGATGACATTTGAAAAACACCTAGCTCCAAACCCTTCATGTTTGACAGAATTGAGTTTTTGGGGAGGTTTGTGTAATTAAGGAGGGGATAAGATGAGTGCCAGGTGATTTTTGTATGTAATGGTTGTACCATATGTTTTCTTCTTTTGCTTGTCATTGTTTTGGCCCCTGTTCTGTAATTTAAGTAGCAAAGGACAAACGTTGACATAGTCTCTGAACTTTTACAGGATGTGTTGAATATGTTTTATTTCACAAATTTATCCATACCATGATTTTTTCAGGAGCAAGTGTGGATTAGATCGTTCAAGTGGTTGGTTGCCATGTCTAATCAACTATAGCAGCACTCGTGCTATTGCCTGGATTCTATTTTAAAAACACACCTTTCAATTCAAAAGTATCCACGGACGTTAAAAAATACCAGTGGACGTTTAAAAAGCCAATGGACAGTTTACAACAGTACCATTGTGCTAACGTGTACACTTGAACAGTTTCACAATGGACGTTTACAACAATGCCACTATGCTAACAACATCAACATTTTATTTTATTTTTTCCTAATAAAGATGGTTACCTCTCTTCCACTAGATCAACTCCTACATGAGTAAAGTTGTTCTTTTGGTTACAGGATTTTATGTTTAAGCCAAGAATCGAACATCAATATTTAATTAATGAGTATAAGTATCAAATCATAACACCAACATTTACAACAATATTAATGGATGTTAAAAAATTTCAGCAAATGCTAACGTTTCCCCTTGGACAGTTTCATTATAGCTATTGTTGACGAAGGTTTCAGCAAATACAACTATTAATGAGAGCCTATTTCTATTTTTATAAAAGTATCTTTAAGATAAGTTTATTTAAAAAATTAAAGATGTAAATTTTTAACTTTTGAAGATTACACCGAAAATTCTTTGATAGGCCTTTCAAAAAATAATCAAATATAACAGTTTTTAAAACATTATTTAATTAAAATGCATTTTTTCCTTTTTAAAATTTGTACTCACGGGGTATTACAATGAGTATAAATTTATTTTACAAATCATAAACAAGTCAAAATTATTTTTTCATAGAAATTGAGGGAGCACCGACACAAAACCACAGCAAAATCTGTTGGCACTTTTTGTTTTGGGCCACAGTCGTCTTTATTTCATTAATTGGTTCGTTTTTATAAGTATATGATTAATAAAGAAAAAAAAGCTGGGAAGGGCTCGTCCACATGAACCCAATATCCACATTTGTTTTAACCTCTTGAAGATTATTAAATAATTACGTATATGTACAAAAAATAATGATGTATGAAATCTATCCAATGTCTTGTTTTGTGACAACAAAATTTCTTTTGATAGCAAGCATTACGCCATTAGCTCATTAATGTTCAATTCATCAGCAAGTTCATAATAAAATATTTTGAGGAACTCTAAAGTTGGCTGCTACTGTCAGACATTTCCGTCTTTCTTTGCTCATGTAAAGGCCCTTCAGTTGTGAAATTAAAATATTTTTCCTTCTGTTTCTTTTCGTACTTGAAATTCAAAGACATGCTGATGCTCCACAAGGTGGAAGGTATAGCCAACAATTTTTGAACGTAGTATTTAGCAAAATTTAAAGAATAAAGCCATTGGCGGCTAAGCTTTCTTTTTTAATTATGTTAGCAGGAATCTTATATTATTTACTATATATACATAATAGAAAAACTTAAAAGAGTCAAATCCCCTTATCTTAATATCTTTAAACATTTTCTTTGATTTTAAATATGTAATTCAGTAGATAATAAAGATCATGCACCCATTTTAATGTGGTGTCTTTCTAATCGAGGTGTTCCTATATTAGTCTTATACAAAATTTTGTCAACATGTTAATTAATTAATTTATTTTTACTAAATTAGTCTCTCTTGTATAAAAATTATCATTAAACATATTTTTTTGTTATTATAGTCATTTATATTTTCTTATAATATGTAATACTGAAAGTCTTAGAGTTGATGTTTTAAACAACATATGTGTTACTGTGATGTTTTGTGTTGAGTGACTTCCGATGGCTTCTTAAGATTCTAGGTGATTTTAAGAGTTTCTTTTGATAAAAGTTCAAATTGACTCTAAGGGGTGAGGTTTATAAGGTTTATATTCAAGATAGAGTCTGATAACTTCAATTTCTCATAATCTTAAAGAGAGAAAATTCTAGATAGATAGACTATGCCCTTGTGGACTCTTTCTCCCTTGAATATGTTCTTCTATGAGACTTTTTCTCCTTCTTAGCTGATTTTAGTTTGTTTGTTGTGATTCATGTTGTGAAAATCTTGAATCAAATTTGTGAAGTGTGTAGAACATCGTTTCCTCCTCTTCTACCTCAGTTTTGTGCTACCCTTAGGTAAGGAAAGCTAGAATCCTTATTTAATGGAATTGTTGAGTTGCTAATTGCATTATGAGCTGAATGTTGTTATTGTGACACCCTTACTACCCCAACACATATATAATATAATTTAATTAAGAAGAATAAACTTTCAAAGGGTTCGTAAAAGGGTTCACATAAAACTTCAAAACTGTTCTTTCTTCAATATAAGAAAATGACTGAAAAATAAAACTTGAAAGGTAAAATTTAAGAGTTTACAATTTTAAAATCATTTATTACAATACCAAATCCATATAAATATTCTGTTCTAGAGCCCCGATGTCACACTATCAGAGTATTCCCATAATTTAACTGTTGGCATTCTAGATTATAAGAAAATATATAACTATTATTAATTAAATCGGGCGTAACATTAAATGGTATCAGAGCAGGTCGATCCAATCGGCCGTGAGTTATGAGTTTACTATGCTTGATTAATAAATGAAGTTTTTAACGATTGAATCCAAGGAGGATGTATGTTAAGAATTGGAGTTTTACATATTTTTGATAAAAGACTAAAGTGTGCATCTTTGTTATTTTTATTATATGATTTGGAGGTTATAAATTATTCCTAACTAGGAGGCACTGCCACCTTTACTGGAATTAATTTATATTTCCTTTATTACTTTTAAATCTTATTATATGATTTATTAAATTTGATAATTACATATTGATTTTTATGATTTAGGTTTTAAAATAAACAAAGAAAAGAAAGGAGTGAGAACAATATCTAATAAATACAATAATTCAAAAGAATGTACAGAATTATTTATGATCAATATTAAACATATATATATATTATATATTAAATTTTCATCTTACAATAAAATTTGAATTATAATTGTAGTGACTAGTCAGGATAAATGAGCATCATCATAATATTAACCA